GAGGCCACTGCCATTGACATGGCACTGGACTCCGTAGAAAATTCTCCAAACAAATCTTTCCTAATCCTTTCTGACTCTCTGTCTTGCATCACCTCACTCACAAACTACAACTCTTACACCCAAAAATAGGCTACAACAGAAAATTCACACACTATCAGAGACGGAAAAAACATCATGTTCGCATGGATACCTAGCCATGTGGGCATCTGAGGAAACGAGCAGGTAGACGACCTGGCGAAGAAAGCTTCATCCCTTCTGCTGGGATCAATGACAAACACTTTCCCACAGACTGACTTTAAAAATAAAGTCAAAAAGTACACCTCCAGTCTGTGGGAGAGCCACTGGGAAAAACAAAAAAACAATAAACCCAAACTGAAACAGCGAAATCCTTCAGACCTCTCCAGAAGAGACGAAGTCATTTTTACTCGATTGCGCATCGGACACACGGCCCTGACCCACAAATACCTCCTACAGGGAGATGAGAAGCCGTTCTGTGTCGGATGCGACACAGATTTTACCGTTAGACACATCTTAAACGAATGTCTAGACTTTGGAGAGATCCGAAGGAAATATTATAAATGCAAGAAATTGCAAGACATTTTTTCCGTCTGTGGTCCCAGCAGAATTTTTAATTTTATGAAGGCCATTGGCCTTTATGGCAAATTGTAAAGTGAAACAATATAGTTTAAAATTTTTTAAAATTGTTATTTATAAGAGTTGTTTTAAATCGCAAATATATTTACACTGAAATTTAGTATTTTAGCATTTTAAAGTCTAATTGTCGACCAACCGTGCAGTGAACTGTTGCGAATGCTACCAACTTGTGTTTCGCGCGCTCATATAATAATAATAATAAATAGCATTTGTATAGCGCATATCCCCGCTCAACAGCAGGCTCTATGCGCTTTACACTATATTAAACTCATATGACCTTATGCAGTTGCGAGCGCCGTAAAACCCTGTACTACTACTACTACTACTTTTGTTTCTGTTTGTTTCTCTTGCCGTTTCCATGGAACAAGATAACCATTATATTTTATTGGACCTGTTGACATGTTGGGCTCTTTTTTTAGACTTTGAATGGGTGGTTGGCAGGTACTCAGGTGTGATTTGCTCCTTCTTTCCTATTAAATATGTTTTATCTCTATTATCCTTATCTCTCCTCCTTCTTTTCTTTGTATATTACACTCTAGTGATACCAAATCTTCTGCACTTTATATAAACCAGTTGCAAGTGCAGTAAAACTCTTACTAAAACAAAACAAAAAACATTGAATTTTGAGTAAAAATTGTACGATTATGTACAAAACCCTACACTATTTTACAAACTAACTAGTTGATTCTTCTTCTAAGTTTGATCAGCAACCTCAGTGATAGTCTTTTCGATTATTTATGTTCTTCTGTCAAATTACCGGTGCATGAAAGGGTTGTTATACATTGAATGGGCCAGTATGCACAAAATGTGTCATGGTGCAAGCTGTATAATTTTTTTTATGTGACATGACGCGGTGAATCAGGCCCTCGTCAGTTTTTGGGCATATATGAATTTATTGGTATAATCTTATAGCCTGTTCATTTGTCTTGTTTTTCCGTTGAAAAAAAAAATACTCGTCTATCCTAAATAGAAATGGATGCAATTAAAGGAAGTGGGGGTTGCAAGGTTTCAGAGCCAAAGTTAGTGAGAAAATGGCTGCCAAAGTTACGTGACTTCCAAAGCTTGAGAGTCCTTGGAAACGGCAAAATAACATTTTGCATGTATTTATTCAACATTTTTCAGTAAAATCCACACAGAGATGTGTTTTTCAAAGGCCAAAAATTTGATGAAAATTGCCAAAAGAGCAGGAGGGAGAATGCTGGTTTCTTTGATTTCATTATTTTGACAAGAGCCTGATTTCATCATGCTGCCTCACAAATATTTTTTTTCTTCTTTTTAAAAAGTTTTATTGTGAAGTGCCTAGAGTCACAAGGGAGTAGGTGCTACAGAAGTGGTCTTTATTATTATTATTATTATTCTTAAACATTTTTAAAAATCATTTTTATTATTATTGTTATAATAAAAATCTCTGTAGGAAGTTGTTTTTGTTCTTTGTGACTCTTTTGCCTACAGACTCCATGTGTACATGAGTGGGCATAGAATCTAGCTGATTTCATGCTTTCATGTGCTACTATAAATGCAGAAACAAAATTGAACCAGAGATAAGACTTCTTGAAGAGTAAGATGACAGTATGTAAATGTCTTACACATTTAAGATTTAATTGTGATCATAGCATTCATGTCTTATGTGGTGTATATTTGACAGATGGGAGTTTAGTTGGGCATAGATAACTAAAACATGTTGGGGATTGGCAAATGTGTTCGACACAGTCACAATTTGGGTATATATGGATATAACGGAAAAATTAAGATATCAGTCGGGGAATATCAAATTGTATGAGCCATCCGTGATTTCGAGTTTTCTGTGCTCATGTTATCTGTGCCCGACTATTTATTTTGTTTAGATCTAGTTGGTTTATAATTTACTCTTTGTTTGTCCTGAATAGGTCATGGAACTTGGTGAAGATTACACACCTAGTCTGTCCAGCTTCAAGGTAAGCATTGTTTTAAAGCCACATGCAGTAGGTGGGAAAATCACAGCCAAACAGCATGATGTATCTCTGTTCATTTCATATGATTTGTAGGTTAATGCACCACTCAATAAACCTGATGTTGTTTACATTTTTTTTTCCCCGTTTAAAATTACTTTGTGGGTGGTTGGCGGGTGCTCTGGTGTGGTTTGCGTCTTCTTTCCTATCAATCAAACATCTGTCGTCCTTATCTCCCTTTCTTCTTTTTTATGTTTGTTACTCTTTTGTAACACCTCTAATCTCCTGGCGCTCATATGACCTTATGCAGTTGTGAGCGCCATAAAACACTTACTAAAACTAAAAACTAAAACTAAAATTGCTTTATTGTGATAACTGGGAAAAAACTTATCTGTCCAAAAGCTGAAAGCCAAATACTGAATTGACTGAATAAAGTTGTTTTCTAAGCCTCATAGAAAGTCAATAAAATAAAAAAGTTCGTCAAAAAAAGTAAATTTCAGCTCTGAGACACCTAAGACATAGTCGAATCAAGGCTATAGTACCTGTTCTCCTTTATGTGATACCTTAGATAAGTAGCTTGCAGCCTGATGAATTGTAAGTGCCGTGCTCTGAAAGGAGTTGCTGAGTTAGGAAATATTTTTGAAGAGCTGTTGTAAAGTTGGCCTAAAGGAAAAGGCTTTCTCACGGTATTAGTATAAGATGAAAATAAAATACGGCATTTAGGCACTTCGCTTTAGCTCCTTGTCTCTGGCAAGCCGCTCCCAGTAGTTCATGGTCAGAACCGCTATGCCGGTGAGTCGCTGGCAACGGCTTGAGCACATTTCTTCACTATGACTTCAACATCAAATGTGTCTTCCACGAGCAATGTCAGTTGTAAGACGCAGTGTTCTATTATCAGCTATGAGGCTCCAAAGGCAAAAAAAGTGACTTTCCATGAAATTTTTGTTTTTTTTAATCTATTGAAAGTTTAATATATTCTGCTTCATTTACGATAAAAATAAACAACTATAATTGAGTATAAATATTTTATTTTGATTTATTTTGGGGGTGTGTGTGGTTTGTTGTGATCTTGGGTGACGAGACGCGATAAAGGAATTTGGACCTTGCTCATGTGTAACTGTGAGGTTATTTATAGAACCATTACCTCATGGCCACTTTTGTTTCAACGTTCTTCATTCGCAACTATTTTTAGATTTTAACCCCTTTCGAACATGAATGGTCTGAAATATAAACAAACGGTTGTCACTATGCACGACTGAGGGCTCTGATTGGTTAAACGGGGTAAGAACGGTAACTTCCAGCTCACGTCAAGCTTGTTTACGTAAACAGGTGACTGTTTGGGCGTGCCCTCCTTGCTGTGATCGTCTGTTGATCTTTCAGTTTTACTCTTGGTTTGTCTTTAAAGGTTCGTTTTTACTGTGTTTTAGTGCTTTTAAAAGAGATTAATTAACCTTTTTCTAGATCTCTTAAAGCGGACTCCTTACCAAGAGGCCACTGAGGCGGTCTATGTGCATGTGTGTGTATGTGTGTTGATGTGTTTTTGTATGTGTGTGTGAACGTGTATCTGTGTGGGTGTGTGCGCATGTGTGTGTGCGTGCTCTCATGTGTTTATGGTGCTATTGCAAACGTATAATTAGTTAGCGTAAACAAGGCACGTAAGCCGACTTGCAGCCTTCGGAGCGCATGGTTTCGGTGAAATGGGGGTAGGCCTAATTCAGATGGCTGTTTCTTTGCTCCTTTGCTATAAAACACCAAATGCTGTGCACTTTGAAAAAGTTCAGATTTTCTTCGTTACCATAGTGAAAGTTATTTGTATCCGAGTATTT